TTGATGTGGTTGGGATGATAGCTGGAGGCATTCTGTCGGTTTCCGGTATAATGTGGTACTTATGTGTCCTTCGTGTATCTGTATTGTGGTGTCCAGGAAGTAAACCAGGTAAAATTGCTATGGGAACTTCCTACTACTGATGGAAGCTGGGCATGTATAACAACAGTGAACCTATGCCCACTTCAGGTATTTTGTTGAACTGGTCAACCACAGAACAGACTGTCTCAGATGGTGGTGGATTCTCCTTCACTGGAGGTCTTTAAGAGAAGGGATGATGAAGCCTGTTCTGGCATTGAACAGGCAGTTAGGCTAGATAAACTCCAAAGTCCCTTCTAGCTCCAACCAATATTCCCTCTAAACTGTGGAGTCTTGTGAACAAAATTCTACTTTGTGAGCTACTGGCATTAAAGTTGTGAGCGAGTGATTTGGCTACTGCATAAATTAGTTTGCTCTGGAGCCATCTGTCCTAAACTAAGACAAAAATGCATAAGCCGGAGGCTAAAAAACTGTGAGCTAGCTCATGCTAACTCAGCTTAGAAGGAACACTGGCTCCAACACTCTTTGACTCTATGTTGCAGAGGATTAGACCACCTTGAATTCTATCATACAGTTTCATTGGCATTTGCCTGGGTAGTCATCCACTGGGCCAAGCCGAAGAGAAAATTTCAGCAGGTGCAATTTGACATGTGAAAAAAAAAATGAAAGGCTCTCTTTGTACAACCGGTCAAGGTAAGGTGCCCAGCCCTCTTTGGCATCTAGTCACTCTAATTGGCATCTGGCACCTTGGGTATAGCATTCTGCAGCTCCTCTTTGGACTACATACGTTTTTTTTTTTGCAAACTTCCTTCAATATAAAATTATAAAATATAAAATTATAAAATACATGCACAGGGCCAATTCTGATGGGCAGCTGAATCCACATAGGTTGGGGCAAAGCTTGTTCTCATGATCTTGTTCCCCCAAAATAAGCATAAGCTTATTCAGTATCTGCACACCGAATGTGTGCATAGACCTCCAGATTGTCCATTGATTGTGTTGCATTTGCTGTTGTTAGTTGCAGTTTCCATTTAGTTAAATACTTTGATGCTATTTGTTTAGCAATAAGAGATCCTTGTGGGGGCATGCCTTAGCATGTCAGAGAGAATTTTTTAATAGATACATATGACAATTCTTTGGCAAAGTCTCCCTAGGCATCCGATGCCTTATGTGGCAAAGAACCTGTTTTATGATGAGCGCTGGAAAGAGAAACAGCAGCGAGGTTTTATTTGGTGGTTGAATTTTGTACTTACTCCTGATGACCCTAATTTATTCTAAAAGTCTAATTTATAATGTTTACTAGGGGAAATGCCCATTGGGAGGAGGCAATGAACCCTAGGGAGAGTTGCCAGCTTGGGGCAAGGGGGCTGGGCCCGAGCATGGCCGGGGCCGGCGGAGTCCTGTCCAATGCAGGGCTTGCAGCCTGGCTGGCGAAGTCCGCCCCGTGCGAGGGAAGGAAAAAGGGCTCGTGCTTGGCGGGCCCCACTGAAGGACTTTGTCTCTCACCGGCGGAGAGGTAGGAGAGCGAAGTCGTGCGCGGCCAGGGCGAGTGCCTCGGGCCGTGCTGGATCGTCATTGCGCGGTGCATGGAGGCGGTGGTCGGAGGGGCGGGAGGGGGACCACTACCTACCAGTCCCTGGGCGCAGTGGCCGCCTCCCCTGTCCCTGAGGCCAGGCGGCCCCGGCACAGGGCTCCCCACCGAAGAAGGTGGTGGAGCGAGGCGGAACAGCTGGCCATTCGGGAATGAACTCTTCACCCGCCGTCCCCGGCCTCTGCCGTCCCCCTCGCTCACATTCCGCTTCTCCAGGGCTGCCGCATCCTCCTGGCGCGGGCCCCGCCCAGCCCCGTCGCCTGGCCTCGCAGCCTTCTTTTTCCGGCTCCTGGCAGCGGCGTCCGCCTCCCGCCTCCCAGCCAATGGCACGCCAGCAGCCTTGAGCGGCAGCTGGCGGGCCAATGGCTGATGGTGCACATTTTTTCTCCGCCCCCTTACTCAATTATATGGAGAGATTATATTCTATGGCAACAATTATTGTAACTGTTCCATAGTCTACTTCAATCTTTTCTGTTTTATACGACTACTGTGTAATCTTTTAGGGCTGCTCCTTCTCAGGACAATTGCAGGGCATCTATTCTGTGCAATTTATGAATCTATGTTTATTTTTTAAGAAAAGGGGCGAAAGTTAAGAATTGTCCAGAGTTAAAGCCTTGCACTTGAATATTTAATTGTCAGGAAGGCAAATTAATTAATGATAGCTGAATAGTAATTTAGGTTTTCATAATAATATAACTAGGTCTCACTTATTTGTCCCTAGGACTCCAAGGCCACCACCCAGGGGCTCAGAGAGGTGGGGGAACGTTTTGCGCCCCTCCCCCCCATCGTTGCCCCTGCCTTTATCGCTGCTGATGCTGCCGGCGGCCATCACTTTTTAAAGAGCCCCTAACAACACCTGAAGGAGCTGCGGTGGCTCAAGTGGTTAAGATGCTGAACTGCAGTCTGTGGAAGGTCAGTAGTTCAGCAGTTTGAGACCCAGGGTGCCGCATGATGGAGTGAGCTCCCGTCTCTAGTTCCAGCTCCTGCCAACCTAGTAGGGTTGCCAAGTCAATTGTTCTTACCGGTGGAGGAGCCTCGCTGGGCTCCGTCCGTCGATGTATGTGTGCGCGCGCCGCCAGCACATCACCGGAAGTGATGCTCAATGTCGATCACGTTGAAGGCGTGGCCCCGATCGTCGGAGGGAAAACCATAGAGTTTTCCCTCCAACGATCGGGGCTACGCCCCTAATGTGATTGACGTGGTTGCGTCACCTTTGGTGACGCAGCCACACTGCACTTCGGGGGGGGGCGAGTTCCCCCTGGGGCCCGATTCCGCAGCGGCGGGAATCAGGCCTCCAAAGCGGGGGTTTACCCTCCCCCACTTGGCAGCCCTACAACGTAGTGTCATGCCTGCCGTTGACTCAGCCCCAGGGTCAGTTCCTGACAGCCTAAGAGGGGAGGATTCAGTGCCTTTAAGAGCTGAGGAAGCATCAGGATCTGCACCTACTGTAAGTACTGAGGAGGATACACAGCAATCTGAGTCAACTACAGGACGGTTTGCACCTGGGATTGAGCAGGCCATAAGCAGCTCACCACCTGCATCTCCCCCACCTGTAAGTAGGCTTAGGGATCAGAGACGTCAGGAGCTGGCTAGCCGACGAAAAGAAGCACGTTCAAGAGGGTGGAGATACTCTGTGGCTTTTGGACTTGGCTTGTGTTTGGACTGCTCTGGCTCCTGACTTCCAGCTTTGAACCTGATCATGCCATTGGCTTTGCTCCCTGTACTCTGACCTCTGGTAACGTTTGACTACGGCTTTGTCTGGTGTTTTGGGACTTGTTTAATGCTCTGCTGACTGCTCTCCCGGCTGACCTTTGGACTTGTATTGTGACTCCCCCTGTCTGCCTGCCTGCCTCCCTGGCTCTACCGTGACACATAGCAGTTTGAAAGCAAGAAATTGCAAGTAGATAAATAGGTACTGTTTTGGTGGGAAGGTAACAGCGTTCCGTGCACCTTGGTGTTTAGTCATGCAGGCCACATGACCATGGAAACGTCTTCGGACAGCGCTGGCTCTTTGGCTTTGAAACAGAGATGAGCACCGCAACCCTAGAGTCGGATTCGACTGGCTTTCGAGCAAGGGAATCTTTACCTTTTAACAACACCTGGGGGAGCCAAAATGACCTCTCGCAGCCATCACACGCAAGAAGTGGAATTTGCCCCTAGGACTCCAAAGCCACCACCCTGGTGCTCAGAGAGGCGGGTGAACGTTTCGCGCCCCTCCCCCCGTGCCATTGCCGCTGCCATTGCTGACGGCGTCGGCAGCCACAACTTTTTAAAGAGACCCTAACAAGACCCGGGGGAGCCAAAATGACCTCTTGTGTGTGATGGCTGAGCGGCAACGTGAGAGGTGGAATTTGCCCCTAGGACTCCAAGGCCACCACCCCGGTGCTCAGAGAGGTGGGGGAACGTTTCGTGCCCCTCCCCCCGGCCATTACCTTTGCTGACGCCGCTGGCAACCATAACTTTTTAAAGAGCCCCTAACAAGACCTGGGGGAGCCAGAATGACCTCTCGCGTGTGACACGCGAGAGGTGGAATTTGCCCCTAGGAGTCCAAGGCCACCACTTCGGGGCTGAAGGAGGCAGGAGAACGTTTTGCGCCCCGCCTCCCCCCCGCGGCCGTTGCAGCTGCCAGCGAGAGCTGGGGAGCCGGAATGACCTCTGGGCAATATTGCTTATGTGCAATCATGGCTTCTCTGTTGGCAATTATGTCCCTATGAGCAATCATGGATTCTCTGTTGGCAATTATGTACTCCATTTTGCTTTATGGGCAAGAGACCTCTCTATTAAACCCTATGGGCAGTCATGGATTCTCTATTGGCAATTATGTACTCCATTTTGCTTTATGGGCAAGAGACCTCTCTATTAAACCCTATGGGCAGTCATGGATTCTCTATTGGCAATTATGGATTCTCTTTTGGCCCTTATGTACTTCCCTATCCCCTCTGGGCAAGTCTACTCTCCATTACTCTCTATAGGCACTCATGTATTCCCTATGGGCAATCGCTGTCCTTAGTTTTTTAGTACCTCCCACTCTGGACTTGTGAATAAGATTAGAAATAATTTTTTCAAACCACACAGCAAGTCAAAGGAATTTTGAACATCGGGCCAGCAGGGCTTTCTTCCAAAATAAGTGCTCCTGGCACAAAGAGCTATGAAACGAATTTTGAAAATACTTAGCAGGTGATCACTTTGAACAGCGTGGTCCAAAATCGCAAAGGCCGCATGAAAGCCGAACGAAAACAGGCAACGCAAGAGCCCGGCGTGAAAGAGAAGCGCGTCGGCTTTAAGTACAACAGCGCCGCCAGAGCGCGAGGAGGAGGAGGCGGAGTGATAACGCTGAATGCAGCCAATGCTCTGCCTTCTTCCGGGTGGGGAGGGCCGCTTAATATGGCTGCCTCCGTGCCTGTTCCTTGTCGCCTCTCTGTGGCAGCAGTAATCGCTTTTTTACTGGGTTGCTGCAGTTTAGTGAATGTGGCTGGAATCGAGGTACGCGGGGGAGTGGCGGGGTATTTGAACTGCAGACCTGTGGAGCGGATCTTGTTCTCCTTTTGTTCAGTCGCTCTGCGCGTAGGTTGAGGCTCAGCGTTTGGGCACCCGTTTCTGCTAGGGTAGCAACACTTCCGACAAGGCTGGGGCAGTTTGTTAAAACGAATCGGGGGGGGGGGGGAGGAGTAGCAAGTGTAATTCAGCGTGATAACAGAAAGGTAGTGAAGTTAGGCTGTGCTTTTACTTGCACGAATGCACACAGCAACCGTGTCTTTGTTTCACTTCCATTCTGACCGTGGTAGTAATATCTAAATACAACACGAAACGCCGTTGTGCTTGTTTATGGGGAGCAGGGGCGGAGAAGGAGACCAAAACAGCCTTGGAAAAGCCCCACCCCCATGATGGATTGCTTGAGGCTGAGAAGGAGCTGCCATGCTCCTCCTCTCGGGCCATACCACGCCTGTGCTGGCAAGGCAAAGCTGGGAGCTGCAGTGTGCCTGTTTGCTGGTTGCATGGCACCTGAGCTGGCACACCTATGCCCGTGCTTCTTCTCACTGCTCTGAACGTGATGCAGCTGGTGAGGGGCCCCAAGTCGTTTAGCTCCCCCAAGTACCTTCTTCCCATGCTGGCGCTGCGTAATGGTAGGTGGGCTTTTCGGGCATTGTCTCTTCAGGAGCTCAGCCAGGCAACGGGACCGGCGAGGTGGAATCCCCATCTGCATTCCTATCCAGTTGACTCATAAGGTGGGCTGTGGAAGTAGAACCCTTGCAGGACTCTTTGGAATAACTTTCAGATGGGGTCCAGAGGTATAGATGAGGGACGGCTTGGCCATGTACCCTCTAATTCCCCCCCCCCCTCCATGGCACAGTTCACATTCTGAGCAGAATAGGACTGTTGCAATCTTAAAATGGGCAATGGACAGTGCAAGACCCTGTACAGCTCCAGAGTGCTGCAGGGTGGGGCTTCCTGTGTTAATAAGTGACTACTCACATGTTCAGCTTAGAGGGAACACTGCTGCTTGGCCCTTAGTTTTCAAACTGGCCTTTGGCAAGTTGGCATGGAAGTCTTGGCTCTTTGCTGTCTAGGTGTGCTAATGCAAAAATAGCAGAAATGAAGCTGCTGTCCTATGGTACATCTGGGCAACAGCAACCTACCACTGCCAGGGGCCAAGCGTCATTTTTTTCCATTCTAGAATCTCATCTCACACTTATAGCTTCATAAGTCATGAAATATATTATTTTACTTTTTTTCTGAAATAATGCAAGCAGATCTTGTAATGATAATATGTTTGCAGCTTCATGTATCCTTCCTCACACTCTAAACACTGTCTATTTCCTCTACTTAAACGTCATTCCTGACATATCCCAATATGATATGAGCCAGTTTGGTGTGGTTAAATGCGCGGACTCTAATCTGGGAGAACCAGGTTTGATTCCCTACTCCTCCACTTGCACCTGGCTGGATGACCTTGGGCAAGCCGTAGCTCTGATAAGAGCTGTTCTTGAAAAAGAGCAGTTTCTGTCAGAGCTCTCTCAGTCCCACCTACCTCACAGGGTGTCTGTTGTGGGGAGGGGAAAGGAGTTTGTAAGCCGCTCTGAGACACCTTTGGGTAATGAAGGGTGGTGTATAAATCCAATCTCTTCTTCTTGGTATAAGGGTCAGAATATTATTTGGTGTATATCCTCTTCATCACTTTATTTGTTCCTGATACTTGTACTTGCTGAAAGGCTTTCACAGCAGCAAACTGAGAATTCCATGTAGGAATTTGTTTGATTGCTTTTTTGTGCAGCACACACCATCCTGTGTCTGTACAGTTTGCTGTATGTTTACACACATGGGATTTTCCCAAGTGAAATTTGGATTAAATCCTACAGAGAAGAGTTTTCCTTACAAGAAATATTTCCCATGCACTGTGACCTTTGCTGAGTTTTCTGAGGACCCTGGTCTTGATTCTACTGTTAAGTAAATTTTCAAATGGCTTTGCACAGTCATTGCATAGTGTGCAGCTAGGTTCCAAGCATTATAGTTTAAATTAGGTACATGATTTGGCTGACGAACAAAACTAGTTCTCTGCCTTTGTTGTACCCAAATATTCTGGATCCCCCAGTGCCTCTTAACACTAGTTCCCCTGGAACTACTTCTAGACCTCCCAGCTTTTAACAGATTGGCTTTGAAGGTAGACCACTGTTGTATGAGTTTTTTCAGGGTAGCTCAGCAAGCTGAGTTTTTGCACACTTATGTTCTAGTCTTTCTTTCAGGAGCAAGCAGAACAGTTTTTTAGAAGTGGACATACCAACAACTGGGCTGTTTTGGTGAGTTTTTCTAACTTCAGTCTCAAGAAGACCATCTTGCAATGTGTCTGTGCATTAAGTTGCAAAACTGTATGCTAATATTAGTTAAATGGCAATATTGTATACTAGGAAAAAGGCCCGTTGTGGAAATAAATACAACGACCTCTAGAAAGAGGCTCTGGGCGAATGCCCCGGCCTTGGACACTCAGTGTCAATTTGCTGTGGCGAACTCAGCAGGGTATAATGACACTGAGTCCACCATTTTCTCCAGAGGAACTGTTCTCTGCTACCTAAAGAACAGTTGTAATTTTGAGTGATCTCCAGCCTTCACCTGGAGATTGGCAATGATGGTTCCCCAGAAGGGAATAGTTGGTTTGGAGGGTGGAGTCTATGGCTTTGTACCTGTCCGAGGTCCCACGCCTCCTGAAACCTCACCCTCTCCAGGCTCCATCCCTCACATCTCCAGGAATTTCCCAGCTGGAGTTGGCAACCCTATCTTCTTCCCAGCCAATCATCAACCTACCTTTATTTCCCCCTCACTCTTCAGCTTTCCACCCCCCACACACCTGCAGCCTCTCCCATGCTCTGAAGCCCTGCCTGCTAGTCACATTGGCTGTCATATGGGGACCACCTCAGCAGCATATAAGGATACAGAGCCCACCATTTTCTCCAGGGGAACTGATCTCTGCCATCTGGAAAGCAGTTGTAATTCTGAGGGATCTCCAGCCCTCACCTGGAGATTGACACATTTTACCTCAGAAGAGCAAACTGTTTAGAATGTTAGAGGCAAAAGCCAATCAAGTCGCATATGCAAATGACCTCTGTGTTCCGAGGCAAAGGCCAATGAGGCTGCATATGCAAATAACCTCTGTGTTCTGACTGGCTATGGGGGGGGAGAGGAACAGCAAAATGTTTAGAATGTTGGAGGCAGGACTCAGGCAAAGCAGCCAGTGGATAGGGAGACCCTCTGAATGACAGATGAGAGAGCGAACTGATTTTGAAGCGTGTGGAATGTTCTAGAGAAGTGCCACCACCATTCGGCTTTTATTTATAAGGGAGATTGTCAATCATTATTGTCACCTGCAGGGAAGATTCATGCTGAAAATACAAATCATTCTATATATATATAAAAGCCCAGTGTATTGGTACTTTCCGGCTCTCAGCCATTGGCCCATCAACCGCCACTCAAGAGTATTCACGTGCAAATGGCTGGGTGCTGGGTCCGCTCCTCTCCCCCACCCACTGTTCTGTGGCTCACTTTCCGCTCAGTGGCTGTTGCTAGGAAACCAAGCTTGGTTCTGTCAGTAAAAAGGCAGGGGCACCAGGCCCTTTCCAGGCCTATTTTGGCCTTTGTGGGGAACTCATTGGGGCCAATCCTGACTAGGGTTGCCAGCTCCAGGTTGGGAAATTCCTGGGGATTTTGTGGTGGAGTCCACGGAAGCCGGAGTTTGGGGAGAAACCTCAGCTGAATAGAATACCATAGAATCCACCCTCCAAAGTAGTTATTTTCTCCAGGGGGAGAGAGAGCTGTTGTTTGGAGTTCAGTTGTGATACCGGGTGATTCCACAGCCAGTGTGGCGTAGCAGTTAGCACTTCAGAGCAGGGTTTGCCAGACCCAGGTTCTTGCTGAGGAAGCTGAGTGGGTGATTTTGGACGACTCACAGACTTTCAGCTTAACCTACCTCACAGGGTTGTTCTGCAGCTCAAAAGGGGGAGAGAAGAATGAGTTAAGCTGCTTTGCTTCCCACTGCGGAGAAAGACTGTACTTTTCCTCCTGGGGATCCATTTTGTCAATCTCCAGGTGAGGGCTCAGGACTACAACTGCTCTCCATATGGCAGAGATCAGTTCCCCTGGAGAAACGGTGGATTCAGTGTCATTATTCTCTGCTGAGGTGGCCCCCCTATGACAGCCAGTGTGACGGAGCAGTTAGTGCTTCAGAGCAGGATCTGCCAGACCCAGGTTCTTGCTGTGGAAGCTGAGTGGGTGATTTCAGACCACTCACAGACTTTCAGTCTAACCTACCTCACAGGGTTGTTGTGCAGATCAAAAGGGGGAGAGGAGAATGATGTAAGCAGTTTTGGTACCCACTGTGGAGAAAGACTGTACTTTTCCTAGGTAGGGGCTGTAGGGAGGGTAGAGGAGATGGAAAGCTGAAGTTAGAGGGGCAGATAATGGTACGTTGATGGTTGGCTGGGAAGGAGATATGGTTGCCAACTCCAGGTTGGGAAATTCCTGGAGATTTGAGGGGTGGATCCTGGAGAGGGTGGGGTTTGAGGAGGGGTGAGACCTCAGACAGGTACAATGCCATAGACTCCACCCTCCAAACCAGCCATTTCCTTCTGGGGAACTATTTGTTTCCAATCTCCAGGTGAGGGCTGGAGATCACTCAGAATTACAACTCTTCAGATGGCAGAAATCGGTTTCCCTGGAGAAAATGGTGGACTCTGTGTCATTATACCCTGCTGAGGTGTCCACAGGAAAGTGCCCATGGCTGGGGCACCTGCCCAGAGCGTCTTTAGAGCTTGTTGTATTTCCCCCCACAATGGGCCTTATTCATAGTATCTAATATAAGTAGGATCAAAAACAGTTGGGATGCACTGTCCAGAAATGGGATGCAGGGTTCTTAAAACCTGGGGTAAGCAAGTAAATGTGAAATTTAAAATTGTGAATTAAATGTTCCAAAAGTCAAAGGCTACATCTGTGCATTGCGGTAGAAATCCAAAATGATGCCTGATGGTTTGTGGAACTGCAGTCTCCATAAAGTGTTCATACTACCTGATTCCATTGGGTAAAATATGCTAGCAAAAGGTAAATTACATTACCCATTGAAAACAAAGCAGTGAGATTAATAGCAGAAGAATGGTTCTACAAGCAGCAGAGCTTCATGTATATATCTTATGTATCAAAAATCTGAATTAATGAATGAATGCAGCGCTCTGACATGGATAGCCCAGGCAAGCCCAATCTTGTCAGAACTCGGAAGCTAAGCACAGTCGACTCTGGCAAGTACTTGGATGGGACACCTCCTTGAAAAACTGGGGGTGGGAGCAGGCTTTATTCAGCCACCTCTCTGAATATCCTCCAGGCCCCCAGTAGGGGTCAGTCACCAGAGGTTACCATGACTTCCACATGCACATATGTGCGCACACACACATGCACATATTGAAAAAAAAAAAAGAATGAATGCAGCCAGTCTAACAGGGCATGGTCCCTGAATGCTGTTGTGTTATTTAAAACTAGGAATAAGGCCCGTTGTGGAAATAACTACAATGAGCTCTAGAAAGAGGCTCTGAGTGGGTGCCCCAGTCTTGGGCACTCAACGTCAATTTGCTGTGGTGACCTCAGCAGGGTATTGCTCTCAGTTTCCCTGATGTGCACAAACCCCGTCACCATATTAAGGTGTGTGTCCAAGAGGGGGCTTCCTGTGTTGCCTTAGTTTTAATATAGCTAGAGTGAAGATCAAATCTAGTGAAATGGTACAGAAGATTTGTTTTCAGTAAAGTAACCTAGGCGATAGTCCAATGAAGTTATGTGCCTATAGTAGGCTGGGGAAATCATGCATGCAATCTCTGTGCCCATCTATTACTTGAAGATGTAAGATGCTTTTTGTTTTAAAATGAAGCTTGCTATTTAAGTGCTTGGTGAAAACTTCAAAGAAGCTTTTCATTGTGTTCATTATTTTCCCGTGTGTGTGTTCATTCAGCATTCTTGGTTTGTTGCTGTAGAAATCATTTATCTGCCTTTTCTTAATATCTATTAATGCATGTGTGTATTCTTTTTCTCTTTAGGTATGTACTTCTCGATTCTGGTTTAACTATCGTCATGTGGCCAATACCCTTTCAGTTTACAGGAGTGTCAAGAGACTGGGTATCCCTGATAGGTAAGAAAATCTGCAGAGGTTACTTTTTTATTAGTAGTAGTGCTGTGTTTGTAAAGCACATGGATTTCTAATGTTTTAATTCTGTAGTCTGCTGCACTAGCACAACAGGGCCTAGGGGGTGTGTGCCTCTTTACTTGTCAGGGTAAAGAAACAGTTTGTGATGTTGCATACCTAGGGAACCAAAGGAATTGTGGTGCCAGCTTGAGTGCCCTGTTTATGAGATGAGGCAAGAGGAGAAGATAATGAAAATAGTCCTGCTGTTTTCGTTCAGAGAGGTTAGAGGAGAGATCCTACTGGCGACAATGGATTGCCATGCTGTAGTAACCTTCACCTCTTTTGGCTTTCAGACATCAGTTTTGTGGTTGACATGGAAACTGACATGTCACCATAGAGGGCACCTACAATTTGAATGGTAATGCTGTTGATACTCACATTATTTGCTGCTAATCTCAACATAGTCCAGTCTGTGAATGCTCAGATCTACAGACTGGGATCTTGGATAGGCAAGACAGATTTCTTTAAAAACATGGGGAGTTAAACTACCCCAAATGATAAAAGAACTGCCTGTAGCTTTACAAAGCAGAGGTCCTTAGTGGCCATTGCTAGGCAACCACAACAGTATTCAAGCCTTGGTTTCTGTCAGGAAAAGCAGGGAGTAAGGGGAAGAACCCTTTCCTGGGCTGTTGGAGGACTCATTATGATAGTATTCGGTCAGACTTTGCATTATAGCCCTTGACTGCCTGGGCTACATTTCGCCTTACTATTAGAGCAACTCCATTTCTTCTGAGTTTGTCATCCTCAAATAAAAAGTTTTGTAGTTTTCTGACTGAAAACGTCCTAATACAGTCTACTTTAGTTTGCTCACTCCCAGGATTGCAATGTTTATACATTATGTTTCTCGTTTTACAATTTTGAGTTTAACTTGGAAGCCAGCGTAGAGGTTAGACCTTCAGACTGGGAACCTGGAGACCCAGCTTTGAATACCCACTCTGCTGTGGAAGTACACTGGATGGGAAAGCTATTGAAAGCAAGCCAGTGTGCTGTAGTTGTTAGTAACAGACTGGAGAGGCTTCGGTTCAAATTGTCCCTGCCACAAAGTGCAGTGGGTGACTTGAGGTCAGTCTATCTTTCTGTTAGCCTTACCTACTTTATGTTGTGAGATATAAAAGCGGGGAGGGGATTCTGCCTATTCTATCCTGAGATCCTAGGAGGAAGGCTGAGATAAAATGGAATGTTGCAGAAATAGAGAATGCTGCTGGGGTGTGCTGCTGGCTCTTTCCAGTTTCCCGTTTCACAAGATAAAAATGGTGGAAAGCTTTCCATACTGCTCTGTGATTTCAGTTATATCTGTCAACGTAAACTGAAGACTGATGATTGTTTAGTGTTTAAATCCTATTATTCTCTTGTTCTAAATAGTGTTTAGAAAGTTTTCCATAGTTCGTGATAGCAATGTGACTGTTCTCCTGGTGGAATTTTCAATTGCTCTGCAGGGAATTTTAACAGGCTGTTACTTCTGTGTACTTATTTACAGTTATACTTTCCCACTCTGGGCTAGATTTTTTTTAAAAAAATATGTCTGTAAGATGCCTTTGCCTTAAGAAGCCTGCGAGGAAAAAAATGTATTTTTTAAATAAATCTATCTTCTGTTCTCTGTTGTAAATTAGAAACTTGGAATCTATCACAAAACTAAATAGTGAATGTAGAGCTAAGAATGAAACAGAACCCTGTTTTTGAAGTTGGCATGCACCTACCCTTTTGGAAAGAGGAAAACATATGCAAGACGTTTTGAGGCTATTTATGACTAGAGATGGGAAGGCCCAGAAAAAAAAAACTGGAAAAATCGGGGGGAAACCCATTTTTTCCCAATTTTCCCCCAAAGCCATTTTTTTCTGGAAAAATATGGATTATGGAAAAAAATTCCTTTACAGTGATAAATAACACATTTATGACAAGGTGTTCATATATTTAATCCTTCAATATTTCTAAAAACTATGTATCATGAAGACTTTTATATAAGACTATGTAAAGTATCAAATAATTGTAATTCCTATACACTGAAGATAAGCAAATGCTGGAATACAATTCAATTACGGAGAGAATACTGAGGATACAATTCTCAAATGCAAGAGAAAGATGTGTTTCTGTCTCTAGGGGGCACTGCAGTTGTCACAAGAGAAGGAAAAAGGTTTCAGTTTCCTTTTTGCTTGTGGGCTTCAGCTTGTTAATATAGTTGGTGGATATGTTTCTGTCCTCTCAGCGGTTTGTACTATAGAGGAGTAAGAGTATTAGAGGAGATAAAATAATGTTCCTAGTTTTGTTGTGTTGATGGTTTCTTTGGTTTTTATTTTTTTAACCTGCTCTTATAAACTGGAAAAAGAGGTTCCTTATAGTTCAGGGTTTTTTTGGGTTTTTTTACATTTTAGGACCTTGCAGTTCCATTTGTAATAAAAATTTAAGAAAGTAAATTCAGTTGGTTATTATTTTCTCAACTGTTGTCTGTGCTAAAAAGAAAAGTTGAAGGAAAATGCAAGAGTGTAATAGGGAGAGAAAGCACATGAATCTGTTTTGTTTTGATTCCATGAACTGAGACAAATCATGTAACTTGACAAGGTTTTGAGAAGCTGAATATATTTTGAGTAGTTCTGTTGCTTGCTTCAGAGGATTATTACTCTAATTTTTCTTTATTTATCTATATTCCTTCCTTGTCTCATGGAGTACTTGCTTTGTTTAGCTTTATCCATGGTTGTGGGGTGTGGGCAAAAAAGGCAGGTTTTTGTTGTTACTACTCATGAGAAACAACACTGGTTGATCAAGTGCATTTGAAGTTAAAATTGACAGAAGTATCTAGAGCCATAATAGAAGAAGAAGAGGAGGAGGAGGAAGTTGAATTTATACCCTGCCCTTCACTACCCAAAGGTGTCTCAGAGTGGCTTACAAACTCCTTTCCCTTCCCCTCCCCACAACAGACACCCTGTGAGGTAGGTGAGGCTGAGAGAATTCTGACAGAAACTGCTCTTTTTTCAGGAACAGGTGTGCCAGAATTATGGCTTGCCCAAGGTCATCCAGCCAGGTGCAAGTGGAGGAGTGGGGAATCAAACCCGGTTCTCCCAGATTAGAGTCCGCGCACTTAACCACTACACCAAACTGGCAGTAATGCTCCCTTTTTTGTGCGGCCCTTCCTCATTGGCTGTTGGCAATGCTAGTATGACCCTGACAGCAGCCTGCTTTCCAGGACTGGAGGTTCAGTTCATCATGCAGAATCTCCTTCATAACATACATCTTTGTCATTGCTCCTTTCTCGGTCTAGACAAGCTTTAAATTTTGCCCTTGTTACCATTATCTGTGACTGGGTAACATCTAGATTGGATTACTGTGATGCTTTCTACGTGAAGCAGCCTTTGAGGAGTGTTCTAAACATTGGTTGAGAACTGGTTGTTAAATAGGTGTAGAGCAGAGGAATGCATGTTACAGCTGCTCTGAAATAACTTAATTGGATTCCTGGTTTTGGCTTTTCTGGGTTAATAGTTCTTGCTTAAGCATCGATATGTATATCTGTGCTGTTCTTGGAACATCATAAGCTCCATCACCTTGAACTCAGAAACATCCAGGGAATGACTCAACAAAAATAGTTTCCAATTTCGTTAGCAACTGGCTGCTAACTGAAAAGTGGTCCATCTCTTTATGAACCACAGTTCCTGCAGTACCGTAAAGTAGTTGTGAGGCACACTGCTGAAAAATGCAGTAAGACATGCCAGTACTTACCTGAAGCCAGATCATTTAATGATATTTGGGGAGTGCCTTTTAATATTTTATTTTCCTGCCTCTACTCAGTCAATCCTAAAAGAAATCAACCCTGACTGTTCCCTGGAAGGCCAGATAATGAAACTGAAGCTCAAATACTTTGGCCACCAAATGAGAAGGGACCACTCACTGGAGAAGACCCTGATGCTGGGAAAGATTGAAAGTCAAAGAAGACGGGGACGGCAAAGGATGAGATGGTTAGACAGTGTCATTGATGCAACGAACATGAAGTTGAGCAAACCTCAGAGGACGGCGGAAGACCGGAAGGCCTGGCGGGAGCTGGTCCATGGGGTCGCAAAGAGTCGGACTCGACTGTGCGACTGAACAACAACTCATGCTCTAAGATACCGGGTGAAGCCCAGCTTCTGTGACCCTGGCCATAAAGATGTGAAATTCTTCTGTGCCGGTCTTTATGGCTAAAAGAGCAAGTGTCCAGTAGCATTTCAAAGATGTGCCAGGGTATGACCTTTTGTGAGTCACTGCTCACTTCTTCAGATGCAGTTAGAAGGTGAGTCCATCTGTCCTTAGCTCTTGAAGAATGGAGTGATTTCAGATTCTTTATGACAATAGTAGGCGTGATTGGATTAGGTGTGATATGCAAAGCGGTAGTAGACGTGGAGAAATCAGCATTAATAATGAGACAGCAAATCTAGGTCTTGATTCAGTCCAGGAGGATGCATTGTTGAGCTTCATTATCAGTTGCAATTCAGCAGTCTCTCTTTCTAATCCCCCTTTGAAATTCCTTTGTAAGATAACTGCTACTGTTACGTCAGCAGCTGAATGTCCTGAAGGTTAAAATGTTCCCCCACTGGTTTTTGAATGTTGTGGTTTCTAATGTCAGACTTAGGTCCATTAATTCTTTGTTGTAGGGACTGGCCTGTTTGTCCAGTGTAGAGGGTTTTAGGTCTTTAATAATACATTAATAATATGGCTATAGTTGCATCTGCTCCAACCCCTCGGACAGAGATACTTACTTGAAGGATCTACAGCAGGCATTTCTGCAACAACAATATCCTCCTGATATGGTGAGAAAGATGATTGGAAAGGCCAGAATGATACCCAGAAACAGCTTGCTATAAGACAAGCCCAAAGAAAATGACAAGAGAACACCAATGGTCGTCACGTACAGGTCACAACTCAAGCCAGATCAATGTATTATCAGTGGCCTAAAACCCATGCTGGATAGTGACACTTCCCTC